TTCTTTCAAAAGTTTGATTAATTGTTTCTTGGGGTAACGAAATCCAGATTGCTTTCAAATTGACTTTTTGAAAGTGTGTAGAAGACAAAGTACAATAAATAACTGAAATTGCTTTCACAACCAACCAGCAGTTTATAAATATTTTTTTTGTCTTTAAAAGCAACAAAAAAAAAAAAAAAAAAAACAAAATAGTTACGTTAGATATATATGCACTTTTAAGCGATAACTTAAAAATAGATAAATGCTAATAGCAGTCATTTGAGCTATGTTAAGCTGTCCGTCGCCTCTTCACATTCTCAGCATTTTTTGTCAAAGATTTTCTTCAATTTGATATCAATTCGTACGAGTACAAGATGTTAATTTAAAAAGATGTCATAACGAAGAAAGCAAGCAAACCTAAAACACACTTGATCACGAAGCGTATAACCAAAATCTATCATAGAGATGTTAAGAGCATACTAAAGAGCTATTTTGGCAATTGGTTTGGTCACTGAACTTACACTCGCGTAGTTATAAATGAATAAAGATGAAAGCTCTTCAAAAAAGATTTCCTTATTCGTGAAAGTGTTTAAGTGCAGAATTTTGGAACAAGTAATTGTCTCGAGCTTTTATTCACTTGCTAACAGAAGTACGTAATAAAGCATTTTTGTTTTTCTCTTTATGTGTATGCAACAAATAAAAGTATAATGAAATATAATATAATATTTAATATATATTATATATACACATATATATATACATAATAAAGAATAAAATTTGGATAAAAGTTTAGAAACCTATGAATATCGTAGAAGAACAACTTTTACTTATCATGCTCATGTTTTGTTTCTTAAGAAATTATCGAGAACTGCTTTAGTTTTACACCGAATTTACCTAGTTTTTCTAGATAAAAATAGGGCTTGCATTGGTGGTCAGGATAAAACTCTTCCGTTTGATCATAGTCAACACGTTTGTTCTCTGGCATATTAGCTGAAACTTCAAATGGTTGTAGAAGGAAAATAATTCTATCGTGTGATTGATCCACATCACAGTTCAAAAGTGGACTTTATCCTCTCACAACCACTCGCCCACAATGGACAAAAACTGTACCATTAATTGACTTGCTTGCTTTCCACAAAATATTTTACACATTTTAACGCACATACAAGTCTTTTTTACACGGAAGATGCATTTCTTAGAAATCCATGCAAAAAAATCGTGTAAAAAATATATGCGACATATAGTTTAGTTTGGGGATATGTTTCAAAACCTTAAAAAATCGTGTCAGATGAAAAAATTCGATATATTTTCTATCTAAAAAAAGACCGTGCAAAAAAAGTAATACCGACTGAACTGAAATCAATTTCTCGACTATTCCCCGCTACTTGATAATAAGCGTTCACGTGTATAAGGAGCTGGATCAAAAATGCTATCATCAGTAGATATGTCTGGCATGTCTAGCTCAACTGTTGGATTGGGAGAGGTTTGTTCGTTATTAACGGCCAACTAGCAGTAGAGTAAGTCACTAACCGAATAAGTTCTGATTATAATATTCCCTCAATTGTATTTTATTGCTGTAAACATAAGTTTTTGTGAGACGTTATCAAAATTAGAATTTTTTGAACAAACTATTTGTGAAAAGAAAGTGTTTTTGCTCTTATTGATGGACCGTGTTATATTTAAAATCGTGTAAAAAAAACCGTGCAAAAAAAAATTTGCTTGCAATAACACAAGACTTCTTACATCCTACTTATTGGATTTGAAAAGTATTTCACTTGAAGATTTTTAGGTAAATTTGGAAATACATTAGAAAGTATGCTAAAATGAGGTCTACTTGTCATTATCTAACCAAGGTATTTTTAGTGTAAGCATTACTAATAAACGAAAATTTATCAAGCGAAATTTTTCCAAAGCTTTTAACGCTGTAGGGTACACTTTTATTGGCTTTCCTAGGTTTCATTCAGCTGTCAATCATTTAATGGTTGTTAGCAGTCTTCTTTCTATTTGTCTTTGGTTTAGGCGTACAATATAAACAATGGAAAATGTGAATGGCTTAGAATCAAATAGAATCGATTTTAAACCACTATAGCCAAACAGCAGATGCTTTTGAAATTAGTAATTGACGTGGTCTAAAACATTGTGTATTTTTCATTTGCCGAATGAAATTAAATTAACCAGCTTTTAGGCTAGAAAACAATAGCAGGCAAGATATTATTTTTAGATATAAATAAATTGGATGAAATTGCAATAAAAAGGACAAGCAATTCAAAGTCAAAGAGAGCGAATAATTGGATAAATTGTACTCAAGCAAATTATTCATTGATTTCCAATTTGATTACATTAAACGCATATATATATATATAAGTAGACATCTTGTTTGTTATGTTAATAAAATGTTTTATTCATTAATTTTATGTCTCATCATTTGAAAATAGATTTCTAATATTTGAGAGAAAGGAAATACATTTAAGTGCGCACTTTCGGGTAAAGGATTTCGTGACATTTCTATATTCAAAGAAAATTTCGTATTCTAGGAATTCTTTTTTTTAGTTGTATTAATTTTGTTCCTTGCATTTTTTTTTTTTTTTTGCATTTATTTATAAATTTTTGTGTTTTTATTTTCGTGGTAAATGGTAAATGTCGCCAGACCTGTATATTTTATATTTATTTGCGTTTTTAAGTCATATAAACTTTTTCGTTTTTTCTATAGATAATTGAAAATTTCGTAATTCCAATGAGGACGAGCAAATTGGAATATTGTAGCTAAGTTCCTTTTTACTAATTGGGTGAGTCTCGCGCGAGAGCAAGACTGGAACACTAAAACCACTGAAATCTCCAAGTTGTTCAAAAGTTTATAAAAGAAAGTAAACTTGCTACAAGTATTAGTTAATCCCCAAAATATAACATTGACGGATTAATCATTATTTAAAACAGAGCCCAGGTAAAGGATATAAATAGGTAGGGCTTGGGTAAAGGATATAAATACCTATTGGCATAAATTATGGTAAGAAATGATGGCAATAAATCATGGACTTGTTTAGGTTGTTTTGAAAGTGTGTAAATATAGTGCGAAAATATATTAATCTATGACCTTTTCCATTTTCCACCACTGTAATATGGTGGTATACTTATTTTGTTCTTTGTTTCCACAAATGTAAGTTTCAGAGCTTGAGTTTTGAATTGATTAAGTCATGTCTGTCTGTTCGTCCGTCTGTTAAAACTCTTTTTGCACATTCCTCAAGTGAAAATATATTATCCGCCTAAAAAATGGCTTAATTGTAAAATGAATATCGTAGATTATCTTGCTTTTAACTAAAGATAATTACTAAAGATATGCTTTACGACTTATAATAAATTAAATTATTCGGGCAATTGATAAATTATAAAGATTAAAACAACAGGCCAAAAATGGGTAGAAAAAAAATTAAAATTATTTGAGCGAATTTAATGAAATGCTTAATTTTTTCATCTTAAATTAAATTTTTGAGATGAAATCAAAACATGAAACAATTACTTGGAAAATTTTATGCTTTGATTACAATGGGTTTACTTATGCAAATAACGTTTGCGTACGTTGCGGATTTGTGTTATTAAAAATCCAGTAAAAGAGAACTGAATAAACACACAAATACAAATGTTATTTATGTATGTATACAAGAATTTTTCCATAACAATGCAAAAAAAAAAATTTTATTTAAAATTTTTCCCCCTACAGCTTGTCATGTGTATATGTGCGCGTATATATACAACACACAGCATTCATTGAGAATGGTACTTATATACACTTAGTGTTTGCGTGTATGTATTTGTAAATAACAATACGGCCTATTTATAGTTATGTAAGAAAAAATAAAAAAAAAAAAAAATTTATTTCAAGGGCTTTAGCAAATTACAATAACATTTGGATGCTGTTGCGTATACTTCTAAAATCGAAATTACGGAAAATATTTTTAAAACAAAAAGCTCTCATTCAATTTTAGTTACTTTCTTTTTGTATCGTGGAAATTTTTTTAGCTTATCTATCGCAATTTATGAATAGTGACCAAAAAGTCCAGAATACAGAAGTATTCTTAGTTTATGTCGCATTGTAGGTCCGCCCTTTAACCGATTGGACTCATTTTCAATATCAACTTGCGTGCAAGAACTTCTAGGGTTTACCCCAAAATATTACACAGATGGGCAAGCGGACAGATGGACAGACGGACAGGTGGATAGACGGACAAATGGATATTTAGAATCAAAATTTTTACACAGATGGACAGATGGGCAAATGAACAGATGGGCAAAATGGACAGATGGACAGATGGATATTTAGAATTAGTATCTGATATTAATCAAGAATACATAGACTTTACAGACTCTTTCAAGTTTTTTTTCTGGGTTTTGTAAAAAAAAACCTTTTAGTAAAATGAATATATGACCATCTTTCGGCGGTGGGTATAAAACCTACGTATTTAATACATTTCGAACCAATGCTTATGTAACTTTTTCTCTCTCTCTCTCTCTCTCTTTTTTTTGTGTGAAAAAATCATATTTGCACTTAATGAAAGTGAAGAAAACAAAGAACAGTGTGTTGATTATAATTTTGCCATATAGTGTAAAATCCTTATGGGTTTCTTGAAGTAGAAGGAAAGTTTTTCTTTTAAATTTTTTATTAAAACCAACTGAAATTGTGATGCATGTTAGATTCTTGACAGTTTCTAGTTATTGTACGTCAAAGCTGCTTTATGCAATGAACAAAGTTAGCTAAAATGTTTTTCTCTATTTATATAAATTGTTTAAATTTTTTATTATTTTTAAATTTTCTTTTTCATATATAAAATTATAAATTTTCTTTTAGGCGTACTGCATATTTCATATTGTTCATGTATATGTTATTATTTTGCCATATAGATGTAATGTCCTTCTAAC